TGACCACCTTACTGGGGTCGTTTGACCCCACTACTCTTTCCTGCCATGGCAGGGGGTCAGACTAGTTGATCTGCTCAGGTCCCTTCCGACCCTAGAAACTATGAAACTATATTAGGGTTGTTGTCAATTGTGGATAACACATGCAATTAACATATTAATTGTTCTTTTTATTTTTTTTGTAAGTACCATTGGGCCCCAAACTTATGAATGGTTTTGAACCATCTTTGTGGATTTTGGGGGAAATGGTAGCTAACAATTTAACTCTCTGATCCAGTGGTAAAGACAAGAGGCATTTGAGGAGTGGGTGAACAGGCTGATATGTTATTATAGGTAGGGGATGGATCGTTTCATTCTAGTTTTTAAGGAGTATATTAGTGAATTGTTTATGTTCAGGGCTTGACCCAAAGGCTACTGTGATGAATTGGAGTCTTTCTGTTGACTTCAGTGGGCCTTGGATGAGAGCCTACATTTCTAAAAAAGATAAAAGCTTGTTTTAAGTTTCATAAAGTGCCCAGAATTTATGAATGATGATACCAAACTTGCAATTAAAAAGTTGGTGTGTGAGGATTTTGAATGTTGCACTGCAGTCTCCAGTTTAACCAGCAGTGTAGTCTTAGCACATGAGTTTATTACAGTGAGCAAAATAGACTAAGGGCTCTAAAAAAGAAAGAGAAAACCAGCCAGTGTACTTGCATTGTCCAGTCTAATAACACAAAAAGTAAATACTGTGGAGCAAAATGGTTTTTAGAGATGTATTGTAGTTTGTAATTGTTATCAATGGGTTTTTGTATTTTCCGCAGGGCATCCACTTTACATTGACCGTGCTTGTGTAACTAGGAAGTAGGGATGATCATGAGATGCTGTTTCTCTCTTGCACATCAGTATGTTTTTTTTATATAGATCTCCTGACTTGCATAAAATGGTGAGTTTTTATGTGAGTTTAATGTAAATAAAAAAACAAAAATAAAAAAATCCTGACTTACCCTCTTAGTGCTTGACTAAACACTGAGAACCACCTATCTAAATAACTGTGGGGGAAATCAAAACGGGCAATTACAGAGCCTTTGGGCTTGATAATTTTTCCCCCAAGAGAAGCTGAGCCCCTGCACCTACTACAAAGATCCACTGATACCAGATTCTGCTCGAGTGTTGCCAATGTTTTGAGCACGAAACCTCTCTAAAAGATGTGGTCTTGAATGGTTGGTCTTGAGTTTGGTCTTGAAAGTAGTAAAAACAGCATTTCAGAACAATTACACCATGTTTATACGATGTTCTTTTGTCACACTTGGTCATAATGATTGCAATGACCATATTTAAATTACATCTGAACGCACTAAATTCCAGTCTTTGAAATTCTAGGAAGACATTTTAATTTAAGCCTTTAAAACGTTAGAAGGGCTATTCATGTCTTAATCTACATAACTCCCACAGATTTAACTAATCCTAGTGCTGGTGCATGTCCAAAGGAAGAATTTATCTGCAAATATTTGCATGTAGTATTCTGCAATGCATGGGTGACTGGAGCCACCTTAGGCAGGAAGGGCACATGCCCCCCCTCCAGCGACCAGTCAGTGACTGGGGGGCATCCCCCTGCGGCTGATTGCACCAACTGGGAAGCTGTTGCGGTGTTCCCAGAAGGGACCGCAGCACTTCACCCAGGCACTTGCAGGGGGGCACTGGTGCTCCTGCCTGCTCCCCTGCCTGTCGCCAAAGCGGGTAGCGTGGCCTCTCAGGGGATGCACCAGCGCTCTCGGGGTGTACGTGCAGCCCTGTGCACCCCCTACACGTTGCCACTGCTGCAATGTATTATTGCAGCAATCAGGGCAGCGAACAGGGCAGTTTGCAAGCTGTTCACTGGGAGCAAGAAAAAAAGGGAAAGAGGAAGAGGCACCAGGCCGTCCAGGAAGACAAGTGAGCCAAAGCTGCTTGTATGTTTGGCTTGTTGAGTGTTTCTTTGGTGGGCTGTGTGTTTGGGTGTGTGCTCTGAGTTGCTGGGAGTGCTGTTAGCTGAGTGATTGCTGCCTGTCTGACAGAAGCCCTAAAGAGGCAGAGCCAGTCTAGGCCCAGGAGGATGTAAAGGGAGACTCCCTGAGTGACCAGGGAGCTAGCGAACAGGTCAGCTCACAAGCAGTTCAAAAGTCAGTTTGTAGCTTCGCTCTTTAAAGGGAGGCTTTAAAGTAAGTTTTAT